CCTTCATGCACAAGAGTGCAGAGGATCCCTCACTGCAGCTAGAAACCTGGAACAAGCCTCCACAGGTGAGACAGCAACGCAGGTGACTAATGCTAATAACATTTAACACTTTTCATTTAATATAAGTTAAAGTGCTATGCATATCATATGGCTGTTAATGAATATATGTCACCAGCTCTTACAGCTGTTACACAATTTTTGTAGCAAATAATCCTAAATAAAGAGGAATATGTTCTGACAAAGGAAAGTATATAAAATATCGGTATCGGTTATAGACCAAATAAGTTTTAACATATTGGATCGGCCAAAAAGCCAATATTGTGCATCCCTAGTTTTGTAAATAAGTGCAATTAGATGTTGAAGATAATTTATCAGTCTGCTGTGGCAGGTGCAGATCTGTTGTGCTGTGGTCTGCTGGTGTAGCAGCATCAGGCCCAGAGATGCCAGCGAGCTCAACAAACTCATCAGCAAAGCCTGAATAATCATGATCAGGACTTTTTTTTTTTAATTCAACCGTTATTTAGACAGGTATATCCCATTGAGCCTCGAGGACTCATTTACAAGAGAGACCTGATTTACATAGGAGACAATTGAGTCAGTGAGGGACAAGAGGTCACTGAACAAGCTGATCTCCATCATGGATGATCCATCCCACCCCCTTTGCGACATCTAACAGAGACAGAGGAGCTCTTTCTCCAACTGACTCAGCTCTGCGGTCACAAAGAATGTTTTGACAAATCTTTCATACTGTTCATTTCACTGTACAACAGCTCATCTCTAGCAGGCAAAAATCACTGGTTCTCTGAGAAGAATCTGCCTATATTAGTTGTGAGTATGCAGCCTTACTTACCTGTCGACCATCCTGACCCACATTGGTCTGGCCTCTCACCACAGTTCGGATATCGTCGTCGAGACGGCTGTCAAGTGTAAAGCAAAGTAGTATCATTATTGACATACTGTATAATCAAGAAGACAACGAATATATTTACATTTTAGATAAAAACTCACTGAATCTTGAGACGGATTTTGTTTACTACGTCATCAATATTAGCCAAAGACTGATGAGGAAAAACAAAGATTGTTGTCAGCAAAATAATCTTTTTTTTCGCATAAACTGTAAAATCTTAATGTTATCAACATGTGAAACCTTTTAGGCAGATAAAAAACAAGTCCTACCGTTTCATGTGTTTTAGTTTGACCAAATATTTAGTAACTTATTCAATTTCATCCTTCATTTTGTATAGAAATGCACACTTTATTCAGTCTAATACACCAGAGATCAAATAAACGTGCTTTAGATCCTACAAACCTGCTATAGCCATCAAACTGTGACATGCAAGGCACTGGAAGATGTTGAATTATACAACAATCAAATACATGCAGTTTAACTGACTACTAATGATTATAAACAAATAGAGTTACAGTGACCCCTCTTGGAAATTAAACATACACGAGACACATAAATATATAATTGAAATGTACTAAATCAATATTGGATTAATAGTAAAAAACTTGCAGCTTTTAATAAAATAAAAACAATCTACAAACAAAGGGGACGTGGATGTGGGGATGTGTGTGTTTAGGGCTGAAACTTATAGAAAATGTTTTATCAAGTTTTTGGATCAGAAATTAGTAAATATAAAAGTATCCAGTAGCCCTGATAAAAACCTCTATAAGTACATGTGTTTTGATTTCGGGTAATGGTGTTCAAGTTGGTAGAGAATCTTAAGAGATTAAAAAATAATTTTCATTTAAACTAATGCCTTTATAGGTACACCTTAAACAATATCTGCTACACCCACTGACACAATTTTCACAATCAATCTTCAATCAGTTTTTTAAAGCTAGTCCAGATTTGGAAAAAAACCACGGTTTATCTACACATGTTGCAAGCATGTATATGCTCATCTATAATGGCTGGCACACACACATGACAACAATCATATATGTGCTTTGTGCTAAAATTTTAGATGCATCTCAAAAAAGTGTCTGAAGGAAAAACAAAATCTAGAAATGAAAAAATAAATAAACTGGCTGAATAATTAGACACACTTCAAAGAAAACTGTATTTTTTAAAGAACAAAAAGATTAATTTTATTTAGTTTTTTGCAGCAGTGAAGTTCTGGAAAGTTCAAAAGAAAGCAAATTAAACTTTTTTCTTTTATAAAAATGTCATACAACAACTTTTTTTTCTATGCTTAAAAGGTTTCAGCTCGAACTGAAAAAAAAATAAAAAATCAGTTGTATAAAGTTTTCAATCATAACAGCTTCAATATGAGGCAGCACGGTGGCACAACTGGTACAGCTACTGCCTCTCAGCGAGCAGGTCGCTCAGGTTCAAATCCCGGTCCAGGCGCTCCCCTCCGGTGGTGGCCCCCCCTGCCGCCGGTGCATTGGCAGCTATTGGCATCTGGGGCTGGGTGGTGGGGTGTGTGCGGGCCCACCCTGGTGGCTGCCTGCCAGGGCCTGGGTGCCCTGGCGGGCCTCTGTTAGGGGGTGGTGTGACCTCGGGGCTCGGTGTCCATGGCTGGATCCACTCTGGAGGGGCGGGTTGCCGGCGGGGCCTGTGGACTCGTCGCTGCAGCCTTCTGGGGTTTCTGCATTGTGGTTGCTGGGGATCGCCCGGGGTTTCCCTCTGCTTCTCTCTGGTGGGGTGCAGTTGTCCCTGTCGGGGGACCCCTGGAGTTCCGGGCTTGGGGGCCGCTGTAGGTCTGTGGCTCCGGTCTTCTCTGTGTTACCTTCGTGTCCTACGGGGATGGGTTTATGGGTCCCCACATCCACTATAGAACATTTTTATAGAGAAACCTTACAGTGATAAGCATGCTCACACAGGTGTTTAGATTCAGGTGTTTATCAGATACACACTCAGTTGGGTTGTGGAGGCCACTAAATATATCTTGTATTACCAAGTACTGTATAAAATACTTTCTAATGATGTTATAAGTATCATTATATATGTTGTTTGTTGTGGTTTCTCAGTTTTGTCTTTTTTTTCCTTTCTGCAGGTCTAGAGGCAGACATCAATGATGTTGATTTGTGTTCTCTTTATCCCTCTCTCTCTCCTCTATTCCTATCTCCTTCTTTACCTTTTAACCCTTCTCTCACTTTTCTGCTGTTTTCTTCTTTGTTTTTCATCCCCGTGTCCATTACATCTGGAACAAACCCAAAGCAAATTCTAATTAAGTTTTCTTTATATATCAAGTGGAGCATTAAGGTCAGCCATAATGCTCTGCTTGTGAAAGCAAATCTGTTGGGCCTCACCTTGACACTCAGACAATAATTCTGAGTGCCACAGAAATGCCGGACAGGACAGGGGGGGGGGGGGGAATCCCGGTCCGGGGACCCTTTTGCATGTTCTCTTTGTGCATATGTGGGTTTTCTCTGGGTACTCCAGTTTTCTCTCACAGACCAAAATCCACAGACCAAATTCATGCATGTTAGGCTGATTGGTAACTCTAAATTGTCTCTAGGTGTGAGTGAGAGAGTGAATGGTTAATTGTCTCATTTGTCTCTAGGTGTCCCTGTGATGGACTGGAGACCTGTCCAGGGTGTCCCCCGCCTCTCGCACAGTGATAGCTGGATATGGGCACCAGTGACCCTTGTGACCCAAAAAGGAAGAAGCGGGTAAAAGTTAATGGATGCATCAATATGTTTCTTATGCTTCTCGTCTTTTGCCTTTTGTTATGACAACCTGTAATTCCCTCATTAACAACGTGAATCATGTACACACAGATAACTTCTTTTTATAAAACGTGTTTGAAAATTAAGTACCAAAATGAAGACAACTAGAAATGAGATGATCAGAAGGAGATCAAGGTAAGCTGTTTAGAATACAAGTTATGAGATGAAGGATGATGGATATACTGTACTGGGCAAAATACGTTGAATATGAAGCCGTGAGGGAGGAGGAAATGAAGAAGACCACAGGAAAGATTCACAGGTGTGACAGACAAAAACGCTAGGGACAGGGTGAGATGGAAGCAGATGATCAGCTGTGCCCATCACTATAAGGGAGTAGCTGAAAGATTCGAAAACTAAATAATTAATTCATAAACTAACAATCACTGGGTCTTTTTCGTCTATACAAAAGAAATACATTAAGCAGTACAGTAAACAGAACTGGTTTAAGTGGGGAAAGAATATATTCAAAACCAGTAGAAAGCTTTGGTTATTATAGTTTGTCTATGTGGGGGATAAAAACTGAATACTGATACATAAAACAAATAAATACACGACCCAGTTCTTAATCAAATGAAGACCAGAAGAAGCCACTGTACCTGCTCGGTGGGGAAAAGTGTGTTGATATATTCTACTGCATTGAAGTCTGCTCTGTCCAGTGGGTCCTGGCTAGGGAAAACCTTTAACAAAACCGAGAACAACTCCTTTAAATGGGTAAAAATTAGTGAAGATTGCCAGATTCCACTCCAGTCCTCAGACAAACCGTCTAGTCAGTCAGAAGCTGGTAGTATTGTGACGTCCTCCGTGTTAGCATTGTCATTGATACGTTCGTTAGCAAGCTAACAGCGGCGTTAGCAATAACTAGAACATTGAATTTTAGAATAAAAGCAAAAAGACCAAGCGGCTACCTGTTCAATAGCTAATTGCACCTCTGGGGTGAGATGCAAAATAGCCTCCAAATCTTCAGCAAACTCAAATTCTTCTTCCTCCATCATTGTCAAAACAAACACGGAGCGAGCTGTCTCACTTCCTAGTACGGTGAATTCTGGGATATTCAATGATGTCACAGATGTGTTGCATTTAGGGACAGTCAAAATTTTTAAGTCACTGAAAATACAGTGAGGATAAAATCAAGAATCAATAAAAAAACGAGTCGTAACTACGACTAGATAAAGTTTTTTGTTCATAAATGTAGATTTTTTTTTTTAAAGGTGAATCCAAATTTATGTCATTGGGAAAATTACTTGAAATCTTTTTGTGAGTTTCTTAAATTGGTTAAAAGTAATTCTGCTCTTCAGCTTTGTTCAATAACTTTAATTTGATATAAGCCTCTACATTTGTTCCTTGTTATGTATTTTTTTTATTTTTCTGTATATTTTTTGAATGTATATAACTCAACCTGTGAAATTTAATTGAAGCCTTGTATTACTTTTTTTTTTGCCTTGATTTGTTTGAAAATTGTTCATAACAAACAAAAAACAAACTATGACTAAATAAAGACCACATCACAAAGGAGTCTGCTTTATAATAGATATTTTGGCTTTCCATCCATACATACATTATCGTTACCCATTTATTTATTTTTGGGGGGATCACGGGGGTCACTGGTGCCCATGTCCAGCAGTCTGTGCGAGAGACGGGGAACACCCTGGACACGTCACAAGTACATCACAAACAACCATTCACTCTCTCACTCACACCTAGGGACAATTTAGAGTTACTAATCATCCCAACATGCGGGTTTTTGGTCTGTGGGAAGAAACTGGACCGAAGTGCCTGGAGAAAACCCACGCATACACAGAGAGATCATGCAAACTCCACCCGGAAAGGCCCAGGCCGGGATTTGACCCAAAGATCTCCTTGCTGAGAAGCAACAGCTCGACCAACTGCACCACCGTGTTGCCATCTTTTGGCTTTTACCTATTTTAAATGTAAAATGTTTTTTTTTTTTTTCTGTCACACAATACATTTTTCTACCAAATGTTAAGTTTGAATATTTTCCTCATATTTAAACAAATGAAAAAAATATGCCATTTCATTATTATTATTTAAAATTTGAATGGAAGCTTTTACATTTTAAATGTGTTCCTTTATTTCTTTTTTTGAATAAAAAAAACAGCAGCTATAAAAAAAATCCCACACAAAGCACCTATACTTGTATAATACAACCACAATCTATAAGGTTGTGTCAGAAGTGTTGTTCTTTTCTCTTCTGCTGAGGTTTAGCTTGTTTAGTTGCTTTAGTTGAGGTGAGTACTCCTGGTAGGAAACTGGCTCCACTCTGAAGGACCAACCCTGTCGTTAAAGGACCAGCAGCACCTCCTGCTGTCACAAGAAACAACAACATAAGGATTCTCCCAGAAGATTTCTACAGCTTTATGCTGTTCTGCTGCTATAACTATTTTTGCAATAAAAAAAAAAAGATTATGTCATAGCCTAAATGTAAACTCTGTGACCTCACAGCAACAAGGTTGCAGGCCCACCTTCTGCCTGGCGCCTCTGTGTGTGCAGTTTTCATGTTCTCTCCATGCAACCCTGCACGGAAAAGCAGGTATGGGGGAAAAAAAATGGATGTATAGATGGATAATCTTAGCAAATTGAAGTGGGGTAACAAATGTGCTCATTGGGCTGCAACATAAAATGAAGACTAAACACAATTTTGAAAGTTTTTGTTTATATCATTATAAAACAATCAGCTAAAATCAGAATCCCTCAGCAAACACCAACCCTGGGAGTGTTCCTGGCTTAACAAACCAGCCTGGAAACAGCCAGAAACCTCAGTGACCCCCCTCTGCAGGCCACACTAGCACACCTTAATGCACACCGTGCAGCCAAAGCTGTTAAACTGTTGCAGTATCACTAATTAGCCAGTAAGGACACAGAGAGGTGTCAAAAGTGTCATGATTATCTCTTTGAGTCTCTTGTTTAGTTATGACATAATTGCAACGCAACCATCCAAAACAAAAACATTATCTCTAGATTTGGTTCCTACAATACTCAGTTGGCTGCCATTAATCACCCAATGTAGTGCGTGCACCTGTTACACACATTTGTTTAAAATCCAGGTTGCAGGATTTAAGATGTTTGTTTGGTCTTGTCAACATTAATGCAATGAATAAATCACAAAGAGAAACAAATGAGACGATAACCAAAAACACAAGAATTCACTTTAAACAAGCAGGATAATATTTTCAAGCAGTAAGATTAGTGTGGGTGTATTTTTTATGATGGTAATGATAACAGATTCAACAGAACCCAAGGATTTTTTTATTATTATTATATACAAATGTTCATTAAAAACAGTCATGACCACCTGATGAGGTATAATTTAGCTAATTCTCATCTTAAAGCTTCGTTTTTTTAATCTCTCCTTTGTGGTCCTTAACTCTGTGGGCACAACATGTAATGAGAACCTGTGATTTTAGTCGTTAAAATAAAATGTAAAAAAAAAGTCAATTAAAGTGTCAAAATTAAATTTGATACGAAGCTTTAAAAAGCGCTACAATCATCCAGTTTTACCAGTGGATTTATCAGCTATATTTGTCTTTAGACGAACGAATGGGGGAATATAAAAAGCGTTGGAATGATGATTAATTCCAACCCTTAAATAAACTCAGATAGATTGCTGATGCTCCTGTAATCATCACAGAGGCAGAATAAACGTGAATGATTGGGTTGGTTTATTTGCAGTTGTGCAGTTCAGGCAGATAACTTTCTGTCTGATACAAATTATTTTATTACTCATGAGGTTTACAGGAAGTTTGAAAGGACAGTCTTGTCTCACAGTTAAAGATGTTAAGCTTTACTAATAGTTTTGAGGGACTGAGCTGCATTATTATTTATAGAATATCAGAGCAGCAGGCAGTAATATAATTGATGGCACAAAGTCTCATGAACCACTCGACAGACTAACGAAACTCTTTTGTAGTAATCACTGAATGTACAAGTACAACTGACCAACTTTGGGAATTAACCCACCACAGCTAATCAATCCTATCAAACAAAAAAATTATTACAACTCAGCAACTTTTAGAAATAATGAGCTAAAGTTTTGTGTAAAAGTAGCTGCGTTTTGTTCCAAACACACATTCTGAGCCTTAACAGATAACTTGAAACCTTTGTTTAAATTTGGGTATGCAATGTGATGAGCGATATGTTTTATTTTGTATATTTTAATGTCAAAGAATGTTACAATTTACTTTTGGATTCTTTTTTTTTTTTTATGTTTGCATGACATATAACAGTACATTTTTGAAAAGAGGAATGAAAAGGACGACGCAGAAAGCAAACAGTGCAGGAGTCCGTGTGCCAAGGAGGACGTCTTACTAAAGAGATCAGTCAGCTTCCTTGCATAAATCACTGTGCAAGAAGCAGAACAAAAGGATAAATCATGAGCACATATCAGAACATAAACAATGATCCTCCTTCATCCGATTCACACAAAAAATATATTTTTCATTAATCAGAACAAATTCTGTAGGATTCTTTTAGTTTGCCCCACTCCCTCTCAGCCTGTCTGTATTTGAAGGCAATTTTACATCTTTATCCTTTTTGTTTCACTTCTCCTTGTTTGCCTTACATGTACACTACTGTTTCTGTTTCACACAAACTGAGCATCCTGAATAGCAGCTGAAGAGCAGAATACTAGATGAAAGCAGCCAAATGCTGGCTAAAAGCGCAAAGTAGCAACATACTTGCTAGATGATCTGTGGCATTTTATTGTTTACTGGTGGTCAGGAGTCAGACTTTCAGCATGTGTCATCAATCTGCTCATCATCTCCACACTTCTTAAGGATCTAACCAAGTTCAGGCAGGTCCTCTGAGTCTGGACAATTTCTTTTCTTTTGTTGTTGTTGTTGAAATGTTTCATCCTTCATCCAAAGGACTTCATCAGTCCAAGGAGCCACAACAAACAGTCCCACAAGCAGCACACTCACATTGTTGGCCAACCAGTTAGATTGTGATAAGGTTGGTTAATGGTTTTGAACCACTTTGGCCATGGCTGCCTCAGAGGAGATAACGGGGGAGAGGGCGGACTCCAGAACCCATTAAACTGGTTGACGCACTATGTGAGTGTGCCGCTTGTCCTTGGACTGATGAAGTCCTTTGGATGAAGGATGAAACATTTAAACAATAACAACAAAAAAGAAACCATCCAGAGGACCTGACAACTTTGTTGGATTTTTTACTTGGATTACTGAGTACTTATTGGGTACTTCTTAAGGATTTGCCTACCTTCTGTTCTCCGGTTTGAGTGTTTATTGAAAACAGTGACTTTAACCGACAACCTCTTGTGATGTCTGAGTTTCAGCACTTTGTTTCAGCTGTGGCTGGTGTTAAAGCGCTTTATAAATAAAGATGATGATGATGATGAGTTTTGAGAAATACTCACCTTTTTTATTTATTTCAGTGACACCATTGGTTCAAGTTACCTTGTTCCTTGGTTCTGTCCTGGATCTTCCTGTCAGTCTGGAACTCTCCGCCTGTAAGAGAAAGACATCTATGATGACTTGGACTCAGCCTTGCCTCCCACCTGCCTGTTTGCAAACAGAACCTGATCATCTCCGCTCTGGATCCTGACATTCCTCCTGAGCACAGTCCCACTCTCTTGCAGTTTTCCTTAAAGCCTGGATCAGATAACACCACAGTAAGGATTATTCTGGAACGTTCTGCTAATCAGAAATTTAAATAAAGAAACTCCTACTCACCTGTCAACCTCCTCTGCAGATTCTCTGGTCCCTGGCTCCGTCCTCAACTCTATTAATAAACTGACTTACCTTTATACTCCTGGCTTGTTGTGGATTTGTCAGTGTTCAGACTCGAGGTTCTGGTGCTGATAATGCTTACCAAAAATGACACTGGAAACCTAAAGTAGCAAAAAGAAAGTTAAATATTAAAAGTAGAAATTATAGGCCAAAACAGTGAAATTCCTGAAAAGGCAAAAATGAAACTTTAGCTAAAAGTTAAATATAACAATGAAACTACAATCTAATGTAGCAAAGGAGTAGATAAACATCAAAAGTAGCAGGCTAAT